AAAATGTAACATCGAATACCTGCCCCATCCTGTTGCTGTTTGCTTGTGTGCTGCGAGCTATAAAATAGAGAAAACAAATTTCTTTCTTTGTTGCACAGGGCGAGTGTTGGCATTTTTTTTTTTTTTTTTTTTTTTTTTTTTTTTTTTTTTTGATATTTTGAGAGCGTGAAAGGGTTTCCAGCAACGCGGGCTTTGAAATAGAGCAAATGTTTCTTTAGTCCCCAGGCATTAAATATCAAATGAAAGGACAACTTCAACTTAACGGTGTTAAGCGTATAAAATGTTCGTATGTATGCATATTGTCAAGTATAATCAGGATTTATTTACCTGTTTGAACCTACCTTAGCGAACCGAAAGTGTAGCGGCAATGTGTGAAGCATGTTGCAATTAAAAAGTATTTGGCAAACTTTTTTAGCTTACAATACAGAACATATATAACATAGTACTCTTAATAAAAAACTTAAATAACTGCAGTTGCTAGAAGAAGCTGCTACTAGGGAGAAATTTCATAAGCCCACAAATCGGATTTTTTCTACCATTTTTCTTTTCAATCCGCTCAGACAAAAAAAAAAACTTGGTATAAGCACAAAGTTAGCCAGAAATATGAACTTGTTATTTTATTTATGTTATATATATAACTCTGGTTTATATAAGCGAAAATCCCCGCTTTTGTGGTGTATCAATCACTCCATATGTTACCGGTTCAGTCGCTTCAGTCTGTAAGCGTATTAAATATTTGTATGAATAAATGTCAACTGGAATTATTCAATAAAAACCTGAAAGCTGCACTAAATGCATAATAGCTTATTTGCTGGTCAGAAAATGTATTTTCATGTATTCTCTTTTTCCTCTTGCTTGCTTTTCACCTTACTCACTCGCTCTCTGTCGATTTCCTTTCAGCGGACGGCAACAAGTGCTGCGAGTCGCCTGCATTGGGCAGGCAATCTTAGCGCGCAGCTGGCGGCTGTGTTGGCTTTTCCCGCTTGCCATGGTAAGCCGCAATGCGAAAATTGTGAAAACGGAAAATGGCACGAACGCATCTATTATTGCAACAGACGGCAGCAATGCAGCGCAACCTTTGAAGACAACGACAGCAACGACGCCGCTGACGATGATGGCAACAACATTGTCGGCATCGCAGGCCGACTTGGGCGACCAGGAGAACGGGACGACGGGTAAGTGCGAAGTGCTCTTGTTTCACGCGCTCACGCCCCGCAGCTAATCCATGACGACGCGCCAAGGCGAGAAGGCCAGCTCACTGCTCACTGATGCAGATAGTGAGGCAAATGCAGAAGCTGCTGCAAATCAAATTAGTTTCGTAAAGGATGTCTTTTCAATCTTGCCGCACTTCGCCTACTAAGCGCTTTGCCAAGTTCTCTAATGCCAATAAGATTCTTTAGGAAATCTGTCAGCAGAGTGCCGAATAAAGTGGCCCAACTATGTCATACCCTGTATAAATTCTGTTGAATCTATTTCATATACATAATGATATATAAATAAAATTTAAATATATATCTAGTTAATACTGTATAGTACAGTAATGTTAGTCCATTTTATTTTAATTTCAAAAATCCCCCATCAAATGCCTCCCTTGCTCGTTGAACTCTATTAGTTGGCCTTTGTGCTTGGCATAGTACTAAATTGAGTTATGGCGTTGGTCGTGGGTTACCGTCCCGACCGCAACGCCCACTTGCCACTGCCCTAGGCTGATGTAACCCCGATGTTAGTTAATTTGGGCTTGTCACGATAGCATCAACCCACGCCCAGCTTATGGCGGATATTTCTTTGACTTCGTCGTAGTTGTTATATTAATTAAATGGCTTTCAGTGTGGCAGAGTCAAAATAATTATTATTCCCTTCAGCGCAGCACATCCTACGCTATTTAGCTAAGAGCCAACTCGATACTAAACATAATTATGGCTAAGCTTCAAAGGTTCACTTTGATTTTATATGTCACATTTCAAGTCTTGCTAGAAAGTCAGTTTGCAATACTTTTAAATTTAGTTGGAATTACTAGTTAGTTGTTCTACGATCTTCATTTTATTAGCTGTGATAAAATTTAAATAAAATTTAATTTGTGTTTAATATATATGAAATTTTACTAGGGTCTTATGAAATCAGCGATAGAAATTGATTCTTAAGAGTAGGATAACATTTTTGGCATATTTTGCTTTAAACAATGTTCCAAGAAAAAATCCTCATCGTATAATGATAGCTTTCAATAGGTATTTTACATACAAAATGTTGACCTTTTCTTTATAGATATTTACATTAAAAGAAAAATTTCTCTGCCAGCAATATAAGACTAGCATGAGGCGAAAAACGTAAATAATAAATAATGTTATTAAGAAAATACTACTCATTACCACTTACTCCCTAAAATATTTTCAATTTCTCTTATTTCATTAATTATAAAATACAAATGTATATTTAACATTTAACAAAAATATAAAACAGAAGAAACTATTAATTAGAGTAAAATATCTATGCATTCTGTTAAAGTGATGAATATCTCTTGTAGTAATCTCAATCAATTTTTTTGTCTCACGCTCGGTGCTTAAATTGTTTACTCAATTTTCATTTTAATTCCATTAGCATGATGAAGGGAATTTTAAGATGTGCCAAATGGGCGACATATGAGAATACACACACATACATACACATGTGCATGTGATGCTAATGTGGCTATTATATAAATTGCTTAAATTGCTTATAAAGCAAAATATGATGCCAAAAGAAGATGTTGCGCATACGCCGCGTCTACGCTGTCGATTCATGGGGATAGTAGCAGTAAAACAAAGACATGTGCGTATGTGTGTGACTGAGTGAGGCATTTAAATGAAGCATATAATTTTGGGAAAAGAAACACAATAAATTTGGCGACTGTAAATGAGAAGCCTGTGCAAAATTTATTGTAGAGGGAGAGAGAGAGAGAGAGAGAGAGAGAGAGAAAGAAAACAGTTTGAAGATTTTCAGTTGCCTGTCAAACGGCTTTAACCATCTCATTCATTTAATATTTGTTATATCCTAATAGCTAAAGTTGGAACTGATGTTGTATTTATGCTAAAAATACTACAAATGAAAAACCTGTTGACAGTCTGCACCAAAATATTGACTGAAGCGTAAGGATTGGGTATAAGATTTATGAATGAACAAGCGGTCGAGCGTCTGGGTGGCGGCGGGTGCCTTGTTTATTGATTGGAATTTTGTGTGCTTTAAATAGGCGTCAAAGTGAAAACCAAAATTATCTGCTTCTTTTATTTTTGTCAAAGTTGTTGATGCTTGTGACACCTTGCCGAGTGTTTCATTAAAACCGACGAAACTTCGGGAAGGCAACAAGTTTCAACAAATTAATTTAAAGCAATGATGAGTGAACGGGATTGATACCCGAAAGTTAATTGAGCTCTTTGTGAGTTCCAATCAATAAGCTAAAAATTTAAAAGCTGGTATTTCACTTTAAAGAGACAAGAAAAAACGCCTCGAGGTTATTCAATTTAGTTAAGCTTTTCGTTTAAAAATAGTACAAAGCAATAGTTGTTTAGTTCGTTATTTCTAATAGTTTATCAATAAATAATTAGGCATTTCTAGAAGGAATAAAACTTACAAAACTACTGAAAATTTACCTAAAATGGGATCGAGCCTAAAAGGAACTTGATCGCTTTCAATTTCAACTAATGCAATGCTTGAATAATTTGTAGGTTAGTTTATAGCTGTAAGACGGATGTCTCGTTTGCGTACCTGATTATGGTGGGATATTATGATGTAAATGAAATAACTAGTCGTTGCTGAAAATATATTCAATGGCATTTGTCAATTATATTTGAAATTGAAAATGAATACCACTTACCGAATCTTACTACTAGAAAAATCCAAAACAAATGAACGTACGATCCAGTTTCATTGACAATCATGTTTGTCCCCATTCCGAGAGTTATGAGAAACAATAATGTGTAATAGATCATGTGGGGACCAGCTGTAAACACAAAAATTAGGATACATATTTTTTTGACCTAAAAAAAGAAATGAAATTTGTATTACTACATTTATTATATTTCTACTTTACACTTACGGTAAGTTCATGAACGTATAGGAAAACCGGTGATATTCCCACTATAACTTCTGGAACAAGATGAAGTGCGAAATATTGCAAATCAGCTTTCGTTAAAATTAGAGGAGAGTATATAGAAGAGCTCTGATGGTATTATATGGCTTTAACATTACCTCTACTTCCCTGCTCGTGAGGATCTGTAAATGGAGAAATGGAGAAAAATGGGCAACTAAAATTTACAATTTAAGGTTATACGAAACCAATTTACACTTGTTCACATAAAGCACCCAAATAACAGTTCCGCTTATAAAGCAATAAATAAATGTCATGCCTGCAGCAAAAAGCCACCCAACATGCAATGAAAAGCAGCCGCAAAAGCGCTTGGCGTTAAATATCTTTTCATTGTGAATGCAAATCATAGTTTAAATAAAAAAATTAATATATTAGATAAAAACACAAAACTGCTGAAATTTGAAAGTAAACGCTTGGGTAGTAGGAGCACGTCTGTATTCAATTATGGGACAGTTCAAAATAAACCATATAGAAATAAATCTGAGCCATAAACGGGACTCAAGTACGCGTAGTATCCAAAAGGAGTAGGACCAATGCATGGATTAGCATTTTTGCAAATACTTAGCCGGTTGCTAATACTATGTTAACAGGTCTTACTAAAACTAGGAAGGTTTATTTATTCACTTATCACCAAGCCTAGCACTATTTGCTTTTATTAAATTTTGTTACATGTAATTCTGGGATAATCTTTGTACATTTCTCTTCCTCTGTCTTTACATTTCTTTCCTTCTTTGCTTACAGTACGATATTACGATATAAATAGAATATATTGTTATTCCTGAAATGATGTATGAAAGCGTTTACCATTAGTACTTGAAATGACAAAGCAACTTACCCGTTCGTAAAACGCAAAGCGGCCAATACAGATGAATCAATAGTCCAGCATAGTTAACAATAATATTTGTGCGAATTAAAACTGCTACAATGGTTATTATGATAAAATAGATAATATGGACACCATTGATGCATACAAAAGTTATGACATAAGCCGTCCTGGGCTACAATTAGATTGCAAATTGAGTTTATCAATTTATTCCTCGAGTGTTTACCCAAAACTTACACACATTTCGTAAAGGATTAGCAGGAGTGAGGATAGAACAATTAAAAGTTCGGGCACCAAATGAAGTAACATAGAAGTATGATCCTCTTTCATTGAGTAAAGTAAGTAGCGAAATTAGGAAGATAATATGAATTAATATTACCTGTACTTCCTTTCGTATGGCCTGGATCTGAAAGTAGTTGTAATTTTGATTAGAATCAGATAGATAGAACACGTGGATGCAACTATCAAATTACACTTCATGTTATAATAAACTAAAATTAATTTGGAGATTATAACGCTAAAAAGGATTGTAAGCACCACAATAGCAAAACATCCCATTCGCAATGAGAAGCAACAACAAAACCGCTTGGCATCAAACATCCTCTAGAGAAAAGTGTGAATTAATGGAATTAAATTTGAAAGTAGATGCTTAGGTAGGTATACGCCGTCTTTAAAACTGGAATAATACATTGAAAAAATGTGGTTAGTGCATGAATATCATATAATAGTGGAAGCTGCAAGCCCTTTAAATGCGTCTTTGCAATTTAGGTAAAGTTCTGTAAGAGTTAAAGTCCTTGAATCGACTGTCAAAAAATGCGAGTTGAGTTCTCTGAGTTGTGTTGTGGGAAGAGTTTGCCCACGCATCCGCCAGCTTACAATTTGCTGCGCCAACTTCATCAAAGTTCTAGCAACATTTTAAACAGAACTTCTGTACATTTTGCTGGTTTCATTGTTGCTTTTCTTATTGCCGCAAGTAGAGGCATCTGATCTAAGGGCTTGCTGTCTTAACTAATGTAGTACGCATTTAATTGGTATCTGGTAAATGAAAGCCAGCCAGCTGCAGAACCATTCGACGTTTTATTTGATTCGCTTAGAATTTTGAATTATGAAAAATTGAAAAATAATAATTTTGATAGATGCTTGACTTCGCCCAATAGTACATGGCATTTTATATCACATCATCCCCATAATATGCATCATTTTGTTTATAGAAGGAGATGACGACATATAAAAAATATACTGTAGTTGCTGGAAAAACTCTCGCAATCACTTATCAATTCTATTTGAAATGTGAAAATTTCACTCACCGAATCGGAATAGACAAAAAGGCCAAAAGATGTGAACGTTATCGCCGGCCCTGTTTATAATCATATTTATACCGATCGCTGTAGTTATAAGGAACATCAATATGAAGTAGACGATATGGGGACCAACGAGGCCAACGTATATGAAGACTAAAAACTTCTTGCGCTTAAATAGTACAAAATAAATCTTAGTTGATCTGCAATGTAAATTGTAGTCGCAGTTAGTTCATTGCCTTGATACTTACAAACAAGCCATAAAGGACTAAGGAGCAGGATGCCAAAAATAGGATGACTTCAGGAACCACAAAACATATGAATGAATCGTAATCGCCTATTTTTGAAAAACAATGTGTATTTAGCAAATTTAAATTAGCTGTTAGTAATATAATTTTCACCTCTAGTTCCTTTTCTATCGCCACTATCTGCAAGTAAAGCAAAAAGTCGTATTAATGCGATCAAGGTTTATGATATTATATTGGAAGCCACATTACATTGATCGGTGTGAAATATCAAAACAAATTGAATACTCAAGACACTATAGACGAACGTAACAAATGCAATCAAATAGCATCCTATGAGTAATGACCAGCAGCCGCAGCAACGAGTGGCATTAAACATCCTGTGCTATTGTAATGCCGGATTGTCATTTCTGGATAAAATATTTCAATTTGAAAGTAAATGCTTGGGCCAGTATAAAATTGAAAGTAGCTGGAAATGAATAATATGCTGGCTCTCTATACAAACATATTATATTATTTTCTGCGAGTATCGAGCACATTCCATCAGAGTACCAACGTGTCTATAACTAATTCTTTTGCCATCCGTCCTGTGGAGCGTAATTCAATTGTTGACTTGATTTTCATTTTAATTCCATTAGCATAATGATGGGAACTCAAAGATGAAAATGAGAAACACAGAGAGCCAGGCACACACACACGCACACCTAATGCTAATGAGGCTATTATATAAATAGCTTAAATTGCAAATAATGCAAAAGTCAAACTCGATGAAGATGTTGCGCATACGCCCCGTATACGCGTACAATTTGTGAAGCCATTAGCATCAATTTCCTTAAATTGTATATCAATAGCTGAGTGCTTCATTTGTGAGAGTATCAGGTGTACAAAGTGTGCAACGGATATGCAGAGAAACTTACATAGAAAATATATATAAATTATACTGATAATAAAATACATATTTTAGTATATAATTTAGTGGAAAATAGGGAATACTTGCTGAAAACTTCAGAGATCATCCGATAATATAAAAGACCGGTATATAACATGTATATAGACATTGCTGTAATAATATTAAAAAAATATTGCCAATTACACTTATAGAGTCTAAACATTACATATACCGAAATGATATGGAGCATATATCCAATACAGAATTAATTTTACTTTTGCTGGCTTTCACATGCGGATTGATGCGCATTCCAGCTGTAACTATGGTGTATAACGTAAAATAAGAAAACAAAATGAATTTTTATTTAAAATTAAAAGTAACACTATTTTTCTGAAAAAAAAAAATGTTAGAGAACGAAAGGTCTGTAAGTAAAAACTTAATTTCCGGCTATGAAGCCAACTGCTGCAGTAAGCTAATGGACTCTTGACAGGGTATTGGCCATATATCCTTCAACCGTCAACGAACGGGGTTGTAGCAGCAGCAGCAGCAGCTGTTAGCTTATCTATGATTATTGGATGGTATTGATTCTACAGCTCGCACTCTATACACAGCTCACACCTAACGTATTTATGGCATCTTAATTGAATTTCAATTTTCAATTTCGCCTTTTAATTGAATTCAATGAAAAAGTGTCGATGAAACGGTATTCAGCGCTTTGTGTGCAGCTCCCCACCCACATTGCCGCAAGCCCCGCCCCCTTCGTTTATACACAGCTTGGTTGATGCCTCTCTGCTGTTGTTGCTGTTATTGCTGTTGCTGTTTATTCAGCTGTTGCTGTGCTTCTGGGAGCGTCATCAGGGAGCCTCGTCTGCCAGCTCACAGTTGATGGCGCCAACAACGCGACAAAACACAGCCCCGCACCCCAATTCCCCGCACCATTTCAAAGCACCCTTCTGCCCCATCAACACAACATGACAGCCCACTTCCCAGCCTCGTTTACAGCCCCAGTCCCAGCCCCAGCCCCAGCCCAAGACCAAGCCCATTTCAGCTGACGAATCCATTCGGCCTTCAATTGGCTTGGTTTGATTGCGCCAACACATATTTTTCCACAGGGTTTGCCTTGTGATTGACTAAAAACTTGTAAATTGATTGGGCAGTAAATGTGGGCTAACCGAGATAAACAAACCATTTGGCCAGTATAATGCGTCAGAAATTGAACTCCATGCAATAATTGTCAGGGCCATTAAGCCTTGGGTATCACATGGTGAATTAATAACTGAAATGTATACCCAGAGGAGAGTACAATATTATTTTTTTTTTTTACACATTATTTGAATAGCGCAGAGTTTGCATTTAATTCGTGACTATATGTGGATCTGTGATTCTGCATGTACATCTGTATATACATATGTGGGTGAGTGACTGGCTCATTATGCCGAACCGTGCGCCAGCGGCAGTCTTTCTAGCCGATGTTTGCCAGCCTGGCATTCTCGTTTGCATCCATAATGCACGGCCGTGTACTTCTGGCTCGGCACATGTGAGATTTATGCCACTCAGCCAGCAGTGGAAATATCAGACAATGCGAACGGATTTGTATGCCGGGGTTAACGCTGTATCATCACACAACCGCACATCTATAAACATGAACGGGTATTAGGCGCCATTGCCGTAAGATAAAACGAGAGCGCACAGAGCAAGAGACAAAATACGAGATATATATGCAAATTGCTGTCACAGTGGAAATGCCTAAGCCATTGTTGGGATTTCTTCTCCATCCATCTCTTTCTTTTTATATTACTAATATATGCATATTACTTACAATTGATGATGCTATGATTCGCCCGCACTTAAATGCGTACAAGGCGTGCGCCTTTTGATCGTGTCTCTGCTCTGCTCTGCCTTGCTCTGGACAGCTTACGAAAGTATTGTCATAAAATACATAAATCGCATTTGTATGGCAAATCGTTTGCTGGTTGGCTCGGTCGCTTGTGGCAAATTCAATTTGCATGACACTGATTTTGCTTCATCTTGTTCGTCTTCTTGGTGTGCTTCTATAAAATTTACATTTGCGACAAATTGAGCATCGTTTGGCCCGTGGGCCAAGCTCAGTTTCTCTATTGATTTCAATGGAAAGTAAATAAACTGCATCACTTTGCTCTCCCTCTCTCGCTCTCTCTCTCTCTCTCTCTCTCTCTCTCTCTCTCTCTCAACTTTTTGATGGCCACTTTGCATGTTGTGAGAGCTTTAAGCCCGAAAGTGTCTGCCCGCAGGTAGTGACTAATAAAAAACAATACTAAGTAAGAGGCAAGGGTATTTAAATAAATGGACCTTGAACGTAATGGCACGAGTGCAAGTCGAGTGTGCAGCACGTATACATATAATATATAGCTTAAAACCTATCTAGTTTCAGCTTGAAGTTGATGAGATTTAAGACCACATTCCTCTTCTGTAATGCATACATGTGTGAATATAAAAATAAATTTGTGCAAATCGAAAAAAGTAACCGAAAGAAACCCATTTAAAAAGGAAATAATATTCTATAAAGGCATTTTTATATGTTCACATCAATATAATAAAAAAAGACACAATAATAGAGCTGTAAAGCTTCAGCAAGGGCTTTGCGAAAAGCAATAGGAAATTCAGTCTCAAATGGCTATTTGACTCACTGTGGATAGAAAGGCATCAAACATGAAATGACAAACCGAAACGAAATTGGGAAAAAGTGCGTGGCATTCGCATTTCGACGGCTCTTGGCTCTTGGCTCCTGGCTTTTGTCTTAGATGGCCATTATTTAGCAGCACACGTAGGGCAACAGAATGGCAGAAAGCCCATTGACTGGTCCTGAAAAGCATTGCAAAATAGTCGCACATTGTGCAAGAGAAACAAGCGAAATACGTGCGCTCTTGCACAGTGCGCTATTGCACAGTGGTGTGGCCTAGCAAAAAAAACTGTAATATAAATAATTAGAATAAAAATATATACAGTGACTTTCACAAATCTAAAATCCATACACTCAAGACATATTTTATTAATAAAAATCGTAGCGTAAATCAAATAATTTTTTAAATACATTTTTAACCACTGTGCTTCGTTGACCAATTTGTCTGTTTGGCTTTGACACTGGCTGTGACAAAAGTGTTCAACTTCACCTTGATTAATGCGATGGCATGACATTTTCTTTTACAATTGCTCCCGCTCCCTTTCGGGGGAAATTTGTTTTAGCCTGGCACGTTTGTGTCGCCAATTTGTGAGAGAAGTGCAGGCGACTCCAGCTAGCAGCTTACAACCAGCACTCGCATTATTCATTCCATTTGGGCCAAGCTGTTGATTACTTCAGCACAGCTGATGGCCAAAGCCGTTGATTTATTTTGTGGCCAACAGTTGAATCTAGGGCGAGTGAGTCTGCTCTCAACTGAATCTGTGCAAATTTTGGAATTGTGGTAAGATCAGGGCGTGACCCGCATAAAAACATAGAGCTAATTAAAAAGGCAAGCATGATATATTTGCTAAAGAGCCCGCCCGGTAGTGAAACCCATTTTGCAGTCGAATGAATTCAATTTGATTAAGTGTTGCAAATCGATTGGAGTCGGTAATCGAGCTGAGTGTTTGTCATACAAATCGCCTGCGATTAGACAGCGCAGCTAAGCCGAGCAGCAGCTGCTATTGACATGCGGCATGCAGCACACGGTGCCACGTAAAGCTTGCTACTTGCCGCAGCTTCAAGACATGTAATTTACAATCTTGCAGCAGGTGGTGTTCCGGTGCACAATGTGGCAGACTTCATGTGCACTTGCAGCTGCCCTTGAGGATTTCGCTTGTATTTTGTTGCATTTTATGTTTGCCGCGCCACATGGCGTATGTGCAACGTTGGTGGGTAGAAGAAAAAACGTTGCATACCTTGGGGTGCACATCGAAACAAACTTGGATGAATTTAATATAATTGCAGTTCAGTTTACGATAAAACAGGCCCTACCAACAGCTTGAGCGATAATAAAATCAGTTACTACAACGTGAGCTATATGAATATTCGGAAAACTTGGCGTGTGGTAATCAAGCGTTGGCATACGGGGCACTTGCAGGTGGCGCGTAATGCGGTCTTAATGCAACTACTGCAGAATACATGGCCGCACACGGTGGAGGCGGGCTTCCGTTGGCGAACACATTTCAGACAAACCGGACACTTGTATGGATCCGCCTGCGGCACCATTGCCACATTCGAGTCCGCTCCTTTCGCATCCAACTGATCTGGAACTGGGCATAAGGATGGGCTCGACATGAGTTCAAATGGTAGCAATGCAGGCAGCTCATCACCCACTGCATCCACTTGCGCCCCACTAAGCATTGCCTCTGGCGGCAGGCCGTAAGAGATCTCCGCCAGAGTGCTTGCTTGGCGGCGCTGTTGAACTGGCCCCGTGGCAATTGGGGCTGCCCGAGCAGCACCAGCTAAACGAAAGTCCATGCATGGCGCAGCACCACGAATCGGTGGTGGCGAGCGCACAGCGGCTGTTAATGCCGAGCCAGTTAAATTGAATTCACGGCCGCTGTGATGATCCGATATATCCGGAAGCTTAGCTGGTTATGAAGAAAGAGGAAAAAATTAATTAAACTAAACCTACAATGATTTGTTTTGCAGTAAAACAGAAGATCTATACACTCTTTGGAAGAACAAGCCCAATTTATTATTCAATCCAATCCCTGCTAACATATTCTAGTGGCGCTCAATTCTTTGATAAATCACGAAAAACAATAATATTACTTTTCATAAACTATAATACTCACTGTTTTCTGTACGCAATCGAGCGTGTCGCATGTTCTCGCATTCAAATTGTACTTAAATGGAAGCAAATTAATTACAATACTCTTTATTAAGTCAAATTCTTACTGCGCGATAGCTGTGCATCAATTCGCCTGTAGTCGATCAGACTGGAAGTGCTGTTCTTGTCTGCTTCATTTCTGTGGCTAGAGTTCATTCCAAGGTTATTGCCATTGTAGCTCTTGTATAACAGGTTATAGAAATGGTCGTCTATCCAACACTTCTCAGCAGCTAAGCTGTCCGAGTTGACCTGCAAGAGGAACCCATAGAGGATTATTAATTCGCTAAGATGTGCCAAGTGGATGGTGGCTTACGCGGGATTGGCGTGTTGGTTGCGACATTAGATTATTTCTATGGGAACCTCCGTTAAATCTAAACATGATGTTTACCAGAATTTATGAGAGCGCTATATATGTATGTATTATAACTTGCCCGTATTCTAGTCTAACCGAAGTGAGTAAATTGCTTTTTGACATTATTAGCATAGCTCGCTCGATTGCAACAATGTGTAAAGAGGAAGAATTTTCATTTGAAATCAGTTTGATCTAAGCACTATAAGAAGATTGCTAGCTTAACCCTTCACACTGTCAATCCGTATGCAGCGCATGGGGATTTACTCGACAGTTTTTGGGAGGGGAAAGGACGGGCTGAGGACGGGGCACCGAACGACTTGACATATGTGTCTGCACGTATTTAATCACATGGAACCCAGTGAAAAGCCGTTGCGGCTTTCATTCACGATGCTGTCGCATAACATCTATGCCAAAAAGCTTCACAGTCAACATCGTCCTGTATCCTGTCAAAGTCTTCAACTGTTTCGCTTTATATGCTGTACTTTTTATGACCTACAGCACAAGAATGCCGTAGACATATGAGGGCATATGTCATCCTTTCACACACCCACACACCCCCACACACCCATACACATATGAGCAAGTGATACAGTGTGTGAAAGAGTGTGAGTTTAGCCAACGCTTTCAAAAGAATTTCTGTTTGATTGCTGAGAATAAACAACTGAAGGCAGCCGCAGTGCTCGGCATCGTCTAGTTGCGAGGGCCGCTCCTTGAGTAATGCGCACACTTATTTATACGAATAAATGAGAGTGACAAACTTCTTTTGTCGAAAACAAGCTGTATTAAGCGGAAAGTATGTGTACATGCTTTTGTTGATATATTTATATTTAGATATGTGGCTTAGACGTCCATTCAGCACTTGTGTGCACACAACAAATATGTCATCAATATACATATATTATTCCGCTTGTATGGCATCTTAGCGGTCGATCCATCCACGTCGATAAGTGACTGTGATGATTTGCGCTCCATTTTGCCTGCAGCATGTGCTGAATTTTACGCACATTCCGCTCTGGAGTGAGATTCTTATCCTTAATGTGCGTCTCAAGCTTGCGGTTAACTGCGTTTCCTTTTTATGTCCTGCTAGAGTTAAAGTCTATACATATATCTGTTTTCTGTTGTTTTTTTTCGTATGTCATTACATTAATAAAAATGTATTTAAAATACTTTTTTTTATTTCTTTATTGAGTTGAAAGCAGACAAAAACTTTAGCTTTGGGTGCTCCAGGCGGGATATAACAATTGTAAGTCCTTGTTGAGAAGTAATCAATTGGCTGATTCGATAAGGAATCCTTGTATCCTTGTGCGCTGGCCGAATATCTGTGCTTCGATTGATTTTCTTATGTTAAAGAAGTCTAGGAGAAAATTTAGTTTTCCTTTCAATGGATTACTTTTCTGGTTTTCCGACAAGTAATTTGGGCAATTCGGTTCCCATTCAGTTAATTAATCAAGCTGGCTGTCAACAACAGAGGCCAGCAACCAGACGCACTTGACCCTCCAAGTGTATTTCGGCCATTCACAAAACTTTCCCAATATATGTATATGTTATGTTTATAAACGAGCTCGTATTGATTTGTCTGTTGGTTTACATGGGCTTCAAAACATGTATATGTATATTTTTATTTAGATGTATATGTGCTGGAACAAAAATCAATGTTGACCTCGTCCGCGTAGTCGAAAATTCAAGCAATATAAACAATAAACACCTGGCGCAGGTATGGCTGCCTAAAAATAAACAACTCACACACTTTGACGCCAACACTGTCCAACAATGTTTGCGCCATAAATAAATCAAAGCATTTAAAGGCTGACAATTAGCAGGCCACATGGTTACTCTACATATCGATTAACATAGACGAAACAGAATACAAGAACTACAATGTGTTAGATTTGACGTGTTTTGGCTATTGAAAGTGTGTTTTGGCCACGTTGTAATTTGTTTTGACAGCAGTGACGTGCGTAAGATATATGATATCTACTTAGTAGATAATTTGAAAATGGACTTAGCATCACCCTAATAGCATTTTTATACACTGAGCCCATTGTAAATGGGAAATCAGGGCAAAGTGGTTTTATTGTATGTATAAAGCAGGCGGAAGGGGAAGAGGACAACCCCATAAATTATATTGGTTTATAAGTAGTTGATTTAGTCTGAACGTCTGTTCAGTATGTATGTGCGTTTTGATGTCAGAGCATGCATGCAGAGGTCCTAGAAGTCCTATGAAGAAGTCCTAGTCCTTAAGAGAGCTGTAGAGCAGAAGAAACTGCTGCCTATGCCACATAATAATTATGAATATTGACAATGATAAATACGAGTATAATTATGAATATTAATATATATAGGCTGTTCAGCACCTTTTTGTATATGCGTCTCTCTCTCTCTCTCTCTGTCACCCTGCCCATCTCTCTATGTCTATCTGCCGAACGACACCAAGGTACGACGAACAATTACAGAAGATCACTCAAATTTTCTACATGTATGCAGCAGCATTCGTTCGGTATTTACATGTGAGTAAAACGAAGTAAAACGAATGCTTGCAGCAGAAGAGAGTGTTCCCATTCGTCACATAAAGCTCGACTGCAACGATCTCTACCTGTCGTTCGGCTCAAAATCTGAGCGCGACTTCGGCTTTGAGTGAAAGGCGCCCTATATAAAGGGCAGCAGCTGCAGCATTTCTTCAGTCGCCCAAGCCTGGTGGGGGTCAGTAGGTCAGAAGTGAAGTGTGTGATCGTTCAACTAGGCATTAAATACCTGGAGGAAATACTTAGTGGAATTATTTAGTGGAAATACTGAGAGAAATTCCAGAGGAATTGTTTAAAGAAAGAAAGAGGAAACACTTAGAGAAAATACTTAGTTCAAGTACTTAGTTTAAATACTTAGTTCATAGTTTTCATAAAAGTCATAAATATAGATTTAAAAGCGATTGACCATTCAACTAATATTATTTAATTTGCAGCCCAAGCAGAATATGTTTTTGGTATTCATTCAGTACAGCATTTCCTTACATAGTATATGCCAATCAATATCCAATTATCGGCTGATTATTATCGATTTATTCCTTACGCTAACCTTGATATTGAAAAAATGTCTATTATACTTTATATGTATATAGGTTATTTGTATAATTAATAGCTGTGGCACTCGTGTCAAATACATGTTACTTTTGTAATTTTTTTTTAATGTCACAATCGAATGGCTTGGCTGCTTTTAGCTGTGCCGTACTTGGAGTCGCACTTAAAGCGAATTACCCATTTAACACGCAACACTAATGGCTCGAGCACTTGAATTTTCTGTATTTTGCAGCTGAGGACATCCACCTGAACGATTTATATACACGCTACCGGCAGAGGCTGCGCAAGTCGCTCTTCAGATCGGGCCTGTTCACGTCGCTGGTAGCATGTGTTGTGTCCATAGCGATTGGCGTCTATTACGAGCAGGTGAGAGCATTAGCCGTGGCACTAATACTTAGTCGGGTAAAATAACAACTGTGTATTATGGTGTATAGCACCTGCTGCAGACACTGCTGCTGGCATTGGCAGCCGTAATCTCCGGCTCAATACTGACGGCTCTGCAGTTTCCGGCGGTGCTTAGCTCCCCAGCGGCCGCATTGGCCTTTGCCATTGTCACCACCTTCTCGCTGGGCACCATTGCGGCCATCACGGGCGGCGAGCTGGCCCCACTGCCCATGTACGCCCTGTTTCTGGTAAGTGGTCGGTGTGGCAAGCCCACATTGTGGACTGCATACGTATTTAATACGCCGCTTATGAATTGCATCGCTTTGCATTGCAGGGCATCCACACGATGCTGCCCATTTCCTGGCCGGTCTCTGTGGTGTTAGCCTTATTTATGACAGCCATACACATCGTTTATAGAATCGGCACCAGCCCGGACTACGCGTGCAATTTGCCCATGGTAAGTTTTTTATTTGCATTGCCCCATCGCTGTGGCAACAGTTTTGCCATAAACTGGGATTACGCTTTTGCCGTAAAAGTTGAGCGCAAATGGACGGAAAAATATTGGGTTTATTATAGTTTACAAAGTTCATAGAGTGCTAAGCTTGTAAGGTTTTATGCAATTTTTCATATTGGTATTTAATGCAAGCTCAAATTGGAAATTTTTAATGTAAACCAATTTAAGGTGGGCTGAGAGAACACTACGATAAAACAAACCTTGATTTCCCATTTTCAATGGGTTCAGGGTAAAAAAGTTAAAAAAAAATATCACAATCCAATTAAAAGGCTCGGATTAAAATTTATTAAAAATTATTAAAATTAA